CCACGTCTTGAGCCACTTGCATCCACTTTCTTTGGTAGCAGGTCTATAAATATCAAGCGTTGCGTGTTCAAGAGCCGAAATTTGAAGACATGGCCTTTGCCGGGCCTCCAACGCCTCATCACATCACCTTTAATAATGCTCCAACAGGATTTATAAAACCTTCCTGTGAATCCATCCGTGTTCTGAAAAATAAACACAGAGGCGGTGTAGTACATGACTGGGCCTTATCCAAGGGCATATCCTTTATGGTAGCCCACACTTCCTCCTCGAGAGAAAGAAGCATCCATTTCAGATAAATTATGATGTTGAATGTTCAAAATATCTAGATCAAGAGTGTAATCTCTTTCTTCGCAGAGGGCGGACTTTGTTCCAAGAATGCTCTCATAGAAATCATCCACCGCCGTTTTACTTTTTCATCTTGTGTGACAACCACCGATTACCAACTTGCAATTTTGAGATGAAGTTCTTCTTCTTCCCATATCTAGCTTGTTGGTGGAAGAAAGCGATTGGCGTCACCTTCGCTGGAGATAAAGAAATCTAGAACGTAGCTGTGCAATGGTTCGTTTCAAGGAAGCCAGATCAAGACAATGAAGTTTGAGTTTTTTCGAGCCATTCCTCACGATCGAGAGTGCCCTTGAATCTCTTTCAATTTCCAAACGGTGAAGTATTTTCCTTGGCCAATTCTAATTGGGCTTTAATATTCCCTACTTTCCGTTGTCCCCATTTTTTTCTCTTCCTTCGAGCCATTGCAATTTAAGAAAGATGCACTCCACACCACAAGTAGGCGCGCTAGTACCACCAGCCTCCCAATTTCTGTTTAACAAAGATCAAGAAAGCCCGGCAATTTGGTCCGAAGCTTTCAAAATGGAATCTTCGCTTGCCAAGATGTACACACCTTCAAACCAAGGATAAGTGGGCGTCGGTGGTGCGAAATGTTGATTTTGTTGTGCTTTGGAGTACAAAGATCGGAAAAATATTTTCCCAATCACCACAACAAAAAGCCCGATCCAAAGCCTCACCAAAGTAGGCGATCTCCTCTCATTGGACCAAGTATATTTACGACCCAAGAGCGGAATCTCCTTGAGATCATTGTCATCTAGAAAACGCTGAATCTTCCCATCATAGCTCTATCTAAATTTGCATTATTCTTGTCGGTGACACTGATAAATCAAATTGAAATCTCCGCCTAAGATCCAAGGACCATTGCAAAGAGCCCCGATATTCCTTAATTCTTGCAAGAACAACACTTTCTCATCATCCCTTGTGGCCCATAGACGCCAAAGTGAACCACCAATTGCGACCCTCTTGCTCCGCAAAAACAAAGCGAAGTGAATAAGTGTCAATTCTTGATGCAATTGCTCGGCAAGAACACCCCTTCCAAGCAATCGAACCCTCCTCTAGTCCCATTGGCCGGGAGCACGATGAAATTATCATCACGCAGAGCCACAAATCGAAAGGAGAAGATGTTGGGACATGTTAGTTACCTTGGTTTCTTTGTAAGCAGATGATGTGAAGTTTGATTCTTCTGGATATAACAACATCTCGGATGAATTCTGACGATCCCACATTTGTTAAGACCTCGGACATTCCAAACTAGAATGGTAGAAGGATTCATTTGAGCAAAGAAATAAGACGACCATAACAAAGAGTCTAACCTTACAACATTGTAAGGACATCTGCACCACCGCACTGCTCACCCGCCCACTTCCCACCAAAAATAGCAGCTAAAGCACGACGTGGGAATCGTGAGAGAGTAATGGCCCCAAGAGCTTACTATAAATGTCTTGAGCTTCGGGTGAATGATCTCCCTTTCTTCAAAGCCAATTGCCGCATCACCCTCATTTGAGTCATCGAAAGCACCGGTCCCGGCGAGCATGGAGCGGCACGGCAAAGAACCCTTTGACCCCTCCTCTAGCATTGCGCCAAATTATCAGTAGAGACCGAAAGGAAGGAGGCGGCTTTGGTTTTTTTCGCTGCATTGGATTACATGCAGAGGACGAGCAGCTGCCCGGCTTGCTAGACCTTGTCGAGATTCTCGAGAGGGACATAACAAAGAGCCTAACCTTACAACCTGTGGAAGGAGCATCCACTTCGACCAAAAATGGCCGGGGGAGGGTCAAGGACCTAACTGCGCGCCGCCGCTGGAGTAAACTTGGACCCTGCGCCCCAAAGCATGTAGAGGTTGCAAAGCGGCGATAGGGGGCTGGGACGGGCAGCAGAGCGACCGTCGGACAAGCGCCCCAACCAACCCGGAAGTATGTGAATGTGCCTTGCTTCAGATATTGAGAGGGGGAAATCCAGCGACGGCGGATTGAATTCTAGGATGACGGGTGCAGGGGAGCGTTGGGGCGAGCGTGGCGAGGCCGGAGTGGGAGCTTCATCCATCGCCTTGCCGACCGGCGGATCCGAGCACGCCACGCCGGCGGCCAGCTGGCGGGGAAGCGGGGAACCGTAGCCTCACCAAGACCAATGTGATCCATAATAGAGTTACAGCCCAGGACCGGGGAATCCAGAAACACACAACGGGGGCCCAATTCCATCCCCGTGGGTGCCACTTCCGCTGGGCCAGAAACAACCGATGACCCAGAGTTCTCTTCACACAGCATACAAGTAGGAGAGGCCCTCGAGGAGATCAAGGGCTCCCCAAGAACACGCTCGATAGCATCGGTATCTGAACCCACCGCATTAGCTGCCGCCACCTCATCGGATGCTGGGACGTCATCGGGACCCCGCGTCGCCACAACGAGGCCCGGGCGGCCAACGTCCCGCTCCTGCAAGGCCGCCACGGACCCCAAGGCCTCGGCCAACAACAGAGAGCACGCCGTTAGAGGATGAGACGCGTGCGACTTCCCAAGAACCGATTGCATCCCCTGCCCCTGGACCAATCGCCGCCGAGAACCGCCGCCATGACTAGAAAGCTCCCCACCAGCCGGTCCTGAGGGCGGTTGCGATGGGGAACGAACACGACATCGCCGTCTAGCACAGTCACCATCATCATCATCCCCCCCATCAGATGTAGGAGGATTCGGCGCCTCAGGCTGGAGAGCGACTGAATACCGTATGTTGATAGGGTAAGATAAAACCCTCTTGACCGGAGGATCCTCGATGACAGCCATTGGAGGCTCAACCACCCATAATTCCTTTGACAAGGGAAGAGCAGACGGGTCTGAACACCAGGCCAAACACCGAAAGCACGAAAGATCCACGAGCCCTAGGGTGTCAGGATGCACCTGCTGAACCCAAGCGTGGGGACTCAAGAAACGATCCACCGTAGATGTTTCCCAAACATGATTTGGAATGCCACGCAGCTCAATATGAAGCAGAAACGGTAGAACTCGACCTTGGGCACCAGCCAGACGGCTCCATCGCTTGCACAGAAGGCGAAAATTGAAGCCAGAAGAACTGATCGATTGCCGTAGCCCAACCAGACGCTCGACCAAAGCTATGTCAGGAAGGATCAGTAAGTAACTTGAGGAGGAAGCTCGACGAAGCACCAAGGAGCTGGCAACAACATCAATTCTTTCCGCGATCACCGCAGCAACCTCCTCTACTGCAGCCAATGGTTCATTGCCGATCACAGACACCGTAACTGCATTTGCCAGGTCCTCCTCAGCCCTTGCCACCTGCTCGGTCCAATCAATGATGCATGGAGGAGGCTTCAAAGCTTCACAGGCCGTCTGTGATGAAGCCATGTCCGGCAATGGATCATCAGCCTGGTCGCGGTCGGACTCCTGCACAGGGCGACGCCGAAACCGCGGACGTCGACGACGACGCTGCTGCCCTGCCCGCGTACCTTGATCTTGGGCCTGCTCCTCCAAAGGGCCCTGCGTTGAACCATCACCACCAGCAGCGCCCGCCGGAGAAGACCGTTGCGGGGTGGCAGTACTGGTGGCTTCATAATAGAAACCATTGATCAGCGGGGTGACCATTGCGGGATGTCGTTTCTTTCTGTGGTTGGTTGCTCATAATAGATGTTGAACAGCGGATCGCTTAGCTCACCGTGGTCTCCCTCACCCTGAGCGCTGTCCTTTGTGTGACCAAGCAGCAGAAACCATTGATCATCTCCTTATTCTCTGTGTCTTCACAAGAGAATTCTGGTTCCGTTTCTTGTCACAAGTTAGCCTGCAATCCCTCTCCCCTCAGCCCACTGATCTCTCATTTTTTGATTGGTGGGATAGAGTGAGTAGTGCTACTAGTGACATAATTTTGCAAGGAATCAATTCTCTCATAATTCTTGGGGCATGGACTGTATGGACTCATCGCAACAGGTGTGTTTTCGATGGGGCAGCCCCTGATATTGTAAGAGCCCTGATCATTGCTGGAGAAGAGCGAAAACTTTGGTCGATGGCTGGGGCTCGAGGAATTTCCCTCTTGAATGCCCCCCATTCAGAAAGTTAGGTTCCTAGTGCTGGTGTTGGTCGCCCTTTGATTCAGACATGGGCGCGCTTGTATCCTAAGGATCAGAGAGTTCAGTGGAGTTTGGCGTGAGTTGGAGTGAGTTGGTGTGAGTGTGGGGGGTTGCCTTTTTGGCTGGCCCGGGGTGTGTTGTATGGGTTCTTTCCCATTTTTACTTCTTAATATAATGATGCGCAGCTCTCCTGCGTTTTTCGAGAAAAAGAAAAAAAATGAGAAAACGAAGGCAGAACGATCAACATAAGTAGAACACAAGCCCCTGGCCTCATATGTTGTGCTTTTTATCCATGTACCAGATATTGTATGACTAATAATGCAACAAACTTTTGCTATGCACATTTTTAATCATGGATATATGGTGCAAAATGAATATACACAATGGCATGATGTATTCCATTACTTAGTAATTATACCAGCACTTATGCTGTTAGAAAAACCATCTTCCTTCATCAACTCATGCCTATTTGAGTATTGAACAAATTGTAGAAATGATATTCAGTTATACCCTATCTAAGTATGGACATAAACCAAGTTACTTATACAAATATTGTTGATTTGATAAAACAAACATGTTAATTTTAGAATGTTTAAATATGTAGAACACCGAGAACACCATTCACCTGGTAAGCAGGCATAAGATCCCAAAACACTTCCAAAAGTTGTTCTAGCTTTGGGCCCCCAAATTTCGGATCAACATAAGTGAACATGTATGTAGTACGGTCATTATGACCAGAACCAGCAGGAAAGGCCTACAAGAAATGATCAGATCAAAGAAGAAAAATAATATTAACATCAAAAGGATATTGAATCCCATGTGATTCAGTTTTAGAAGTTCATGAGATTAGCTTTTTTTTTACTAGTTCACAGGATACCTAATGTTCCAAAACAGGTGGTGACTGAGAATAACACAGAATAGATATCAGTTGTGATAGAAGCACTTCTATTTTTTTAAAGAAATCATGATTCATGCTGTATGTTATAGAGGCAAAGAACAATAGTATGAAGAACATGCTCAAGTTCAGATATCTTTGTGTTATAAGTTCCGAGTGAAATGGAAACAATTACCTCCCAAAAGAGCTGTACTCCTGAATTCCCAGCTCTTTTTACTGATGAGCTACTGAAAATAATATCACTTGTTGTATTTTTTTCAAATCCATGAGCGCAAGCACCAACAACAAGGCACATTCCATCTGGTTTTCTAGCAGACCGGATCTTGCACAAGGACAGAAGAGTCGTAACTAACTTGTAGATGGAATCAGGAAATGGCTGCAATGGTAAGATGGATATACTACTAATAGAAGCAAATCAGATTCAGGCACACTGTTCAATGATCCCAAAACTTAGATGGAATGAATCTCATGACTATTTTAGATTTTCCTATGGAAGCTTGAAACACTTAGGAAATGATATTTCTGATTTGTGCTTGTGCAAAAGCTTCTCTTTTAATTAAGTAACAAAAACAAAGTTCCATTTCCAAGTTTTATCTTTGATGTACAGAGCTGTATTCAATAAAAACTTTGCTCCAAAGCTACTTCTGTACTGTAAGCACGGAACTTGGTTTGCAAAGGATGGCACATGGCAGCCCAAATATGCTTAACCACTCCTGGTATACTGCTGAACTTATCATACTGTTCAAGCTCAGCAACTATTCAGGGTGCATCAATGAAATTAAAGAGCATGGCACAAGAATGAATTAGGGTGACAACAAAACCTTATAGGCATCAGCATATGCTAACTTGTATAACTGGAATATAACATTTGGAAACTACCATTACTATACTAAGTGGAAGATTTTATGCCGTGAGTCTCATGTGGACAAATATGGTGACAGGGGACCATACCATAAAACTAAAGCAGTTTTGAGAGGTGTGGTTACCAGTTGCCACTACCAACAGATTTCTAATTTCAACAAGTTGGAGTTATAAAGACCAGTAACTGCCACAGTAAGTTATCAACTACTAGCATTTAGCACCCTACATTATCAGGTATCTGCAGATTGCCTTATGGCTAAGGTTTTTTTTTTTTTTGAATGCAAATGGCAGGAGCTCTGCTCTTCAATTACGTTAGGAAAGAAGAGTTTCGAACAGTCTCCATACAAGGGAGAATATGGCTAAGTTATGATGTGACTTTGAATACCTGCCGTACTATTGGAGAAAAATTGCCCATAGCATCAACAGCAAGTTGACAAGACAAGGAATCACCATCACTCAGTTTCAGTACCTGCAAAAATAACATGGAATGTTCTCCTTGTTTGGGAATATGCAATATCTAATGCCAAAACGACACAAACAAAATAGATTTTGAAAAAAAAATGGAAAAATATACCTAATAACTAGAATGATTTCTTTAACAACATACTCCATCCATCCCACAAAGAGAGTTACCCCTACAAAAAGTTAGCCTATGGAGCCTTTCTTTGTGGGTTGGCCTAAAAAGTACCTAGGTGGGATACACATGTTTGCCTATTGTGACATTCTTTGTGGGACAAAATTTGAATGCTATAATGACACTCTTTACGGGACAAAGGGATTATGTGCTTATTATATCAGTCAAGCACAGAATTATATTTCCAAAATCAGATATGAAGACAATGCAAGACAATCTATTTATTTGTAAATTCTTATGACAAAAGACTAACAGAATTTAGCAATCTCCACAGTCCATTGAAACAGTTTTACTTTGGCCAGGGGTACAAAATATAATTTTGCTTACAGCGAGATCATCATAGACATAAATGCTTGATAGACTTTTCCCCTCAAATATTGCTCCTCCTGAAGAAACAAAGTGTTCTTTCATGTTCTCAACAAGTTTAGCTGGCCTGAAAAGGTAAATGAAACATAAACTGATACATGAGCTAAATTATTGTTTTATTTATGTTAAGAGATCTTTCTTGCTGCCAGATATACATAGGACACTATACTATAGGTAGGCATCACTGTTAATATTATTACCATACTACCATATACCAAGCTCTCTTTTTGCTAAGATGACTTTTCATCATGAAATAGAATTAAATTATATTCCTAGTTCCTCCATAAAGATGTTTAGATATCTATTGACTTAAAATATTAAAGAAAGACAAGGAATTGACCTTGCATGAAAGCTTCTATAAAAAATAATGAGATACAGGTTAATCTTTTTGCAATTTTTGTCTCTTTAGACACTACATACTTTTATCTTTTTCTGTACTACTCCCTCTGTTCCAAACTGTAGTTCACTTTAGCTTTCTCCTAAATCAAACTTTTCTAACTTTGACCAATTTTTAGAAGAATATATTTACATCTTCAAGTTCAGATAAATGCACTATGAAGACATATTTCACAGTGAATTTAATAAAATTAATTTGATGTTGCAGATATTGATGCATTTTTCTATAAACTTGGGTCAAAATAAGAGAAATTTGACTTAGAACAAAGTTAAAGTGAACTATAATTTGGAACAGAGGGAGTATTCCATATGTACAAAGGAAATGTTAACTCCACCATATTTATGTGCTATCATCTTGCATATTTCATATACATCAAAATAATGCAGGCAGCATTCATTTTTTTCAGATCTTGCTACTGTCACCATACCAACTAACAAAAACTAATCTATATGCGGTGTCAGTAGATAACTTACGAAACACCAAGATTAAGAATGTTCTCCACCCAAATTTCACCTTTATCTTCAAATCCACATCTATTCTGCAGATTAAAAATTAAAAGAAATAAGTGAACTGGTTAGATAGCAAGGCATGATTTAACGATAATAAGATGCTCCGTAATTGACGTCAATTTGTGATCTGAAAGACCTTACAGGATTGAAATCACTTGAAATTATTTGTTCAAGGTCTGCTTCTGAAAGGATGCCAATCTCCACAATATCCATAAGCTCCTTTCTTGAAATATTCCACTCTTGTTCCCTCTGTTTAGCAGATATAGGTATATGTTTCATGGTTCAGTAAAATGTTCTTCGGATAACTCAGGAATAGCCATATAGGGTTGAATTACCCTTTTGATTATGTTTCTTTCGATAATTCCAACCCGAAGGCCTTTAGAACTGAGAGCAGTAGCTACAAATATACCTAATCTGCCACCACATACAATTACATCAAATATCTCTGAACCAGAACCAATATCAGAATCAGCCAACAGCCCTTCAACCCGAGTAACAACTTCAGGGACTTTGGAATCTGGATGCATGCATTTCCATTAGAATGTAATTAAAGAGAGATTCAAGCTTTCAGCTAAAACTATTTAAACTTATCCATCAAATAAAGTCGGAAGTTCTTTGGTACACTGGAAAGTCATAGTCTCAGATTTTCAGAAGTTAAGTGCTGAATACAAACACTACCAATCGTGCCCATCCTCTAGTGATTCATCAGACAAACAGAATATGTATGGTACGTTAGCCTCATGCTTGTGTGGACAAAATTTCTACGAAGAAGTGGTTTTCGGTAAAAACCTGTAAAGGCTTCCTATTAAGCAAACTAATTTTCATGTGTTAGAATTTAGGACAGCTTTCCACATGCAGCAGCAGCAACAACAACAACATAGCCTTTCAGTTCCAAGCAAGTTGGGGTAGACTAGAGTTGAAACCCACTAAGAGCCTCAAGTCACGGTTCAGTCACTTCAATAGCTGCTTTCCAAGTACTCCTATTCAAACATAGATCTCTAGGTATATCCCAAGCTTTCAAATCTCTTTTTATTGCCTCTCCCATATCAATTTCGGTCTTCCTCTACCTCTCCTCGTATTATTAGCTTGACTTAGGACTCCACAATGCACTGGTGCCTCTGGAGGTCTCCTTTGGACATGGCCAAACCACCTCAACCGATGTTGGAAGCTTTTCTTCAATTGGTGCTACCTCTAGGCGATCACGTATATCATCGTTCCGAACTAGGTCCATTCTTATGTGACCGCAAATCCATCGCAACATACGTATTTCTGCAACACCCAGTTGTTGAACATGTCGAATCTTTGTAGGCCAATATTCTGCTCCATACAATATAGCCGGTCTAATCGTTGTTCTATAGAACATGCACATGATGAACCAAATTAGATTTTTCTGTGGCATTGTGTCTGTAATAAACAGGGAGGCCAGCAAAACTCATTTCAAAATATATCTATCCGAGTATGAGACTTTGGTATGGTCGAAACAGGCTTCTCTTCCAATCTTAGTAGCAACAAGATCAGAAGCAGCAAATCCAGATAAACTGTTATATATGTAGTGTTTGACCATCTGACGCATACCTACTTGAGATTCAGAGATACTGGACCATATCTGGTCCAATCTTTTCAATGCATTATATGAGTAAGCCCCTCCAGCGCCCCCGACTTCTTCGCCAGCAGAGATCTTATCCATTATCATCTACATGACTGAGTGATGTTAATTCATCATAAGATAAAATCAAGAGGAACCAAACAAAAACTAAAGCACGAGCAGTACGATAACTAAGTAGAATCTATTGTAGTCACAGTGCCCTGCAAATAGCAAAATACAGGAAAGCTGAATCAAATAGCAAAAAATCCCACTATGTTAATGCTGAATTTGCATCCATACTCCATAAATTAGCATGTCACACAAAATTGATGTATTTAACTTTGACATGGCCATGTGTCCACCAATTTGAGTGACATTTTTGCGTTTTGTGACATTTTACGGCACTTGGGAAAAGGTAGAACCATCCATTTGATTAGATCGGATGGCTATAAAATAAGAAGAACCAATATAGAGGAACTTAAGTTATGGGCCGACTGAAAATACGTGGGTCCGGAACCAAAAATATATCGGTCAAAAATTATTTACAAAACAAATTTAAAGGGTAGGATAGTACTTACAAAACAAAGATACGCTCATCTCTAACTAATGTTTTGCAAGCCTCGTCTTGCATCATCGTCTACCTTCCGATCTCTCCAAGTCTTCGTCAAACAAAACACAACGCCACGCATGGAGAGCAAAGTCCGACAGCAGGGGGACTCACCAGCAGGCAAGCCTGTGCGCACGGCGAGTGCACCCGCTAGAGGACTGATGTAACTAACGCACTAGGAGAGGGAGGTCCCTGCAGGGCCAGGCCACCGAAAACCGCACGCGATGGGGAGCACCCACCCACAGCGAGTACAAGTGGTCACCGCGCCGCCAGCACGTCGAGAGGGAGTGTCGGGGACCAATACCAGGGTATCCAAAGAGGAGGAGCTAATAACCATCAACATTGATTCATCCGAGCAGTCAAGAGCGTGACTACAGCTTCGACCGACCCCCAGGTGTGCAAACTCTGCCTCGCTCGACCCCTGAGGGTTGACTCCGCCTCGCCCGACACCGAGGCCGCGGGCTCCGTCTCGCCCGACCTCTGAGGGTTGGCTCCGCCTCGCCCGACACCGAGGCCGCGGGCTCTGTCTCGCCTGACACCTAGGCCGCAGGCTCCGCCTTGCCCGACCCCTGAGGGTGGCTCCGCCTCGCCCGACCCCTGAGGGCGGGCTCCGCCTCGCTCGACCACTGAGGGTTGGCTCCGCCTCGCCCGACACTAAGGTCGTGGGCTCCGCCTCGCCCGACCCCTGAGGGTGGCTCCGCCTCGCCCGACACTAAGGCCGCGAGCTCCGCCTCGCCTGACCCTTCGGTTTGGGCTCTGCCTCGCCCGAGCCTTGGGTTTGCACTCCGCCTCGCCCGACCCCGAGGCTGGGGGCTCCGTCTCGCCCGACGGAGACCCATTCCGGCACCGACCACTCTAGGTCCAAGCGTATGGGCTTGGGTCAAAGCTCTGACACCAGGGAGGTGACCAGCACGCCTCGATATAACTCGTGGCCGTGACGAGCCATACCTGAGGATTCACATCAGGAACAGCGTCGCGTGAACTGGTACTGTTCTGCCTAACCCTTGTACGAACACTGACAGGCGCGTCAGTTCGCCACGACATCCGCCAGAACGGAGTGGAGCGCCATGATCGGGAGATGACGCCAGTGACAGACAGGGCCATGACGTGAAGCTATCCCTATTGACGTCTACAGGGTCAGTGGGACCCGCATAGAAGAGAAAAAGGACCCAGCGATCCTGAAGGACTTCTTCCTCTCGTTCTCTTCTCTTCCTCCACTGTAACCCGTGCTTTCCCTTGGTCTATAAAAGGGAAAGCAGGTCGTCCCATTAGGAGGCATCGGACAAACGATCGCATCGGAACTCATCGCAACACACCACAAGAGACTCGAATCCGATCAACTCATCAAACCCTGAGCATACAACCGAGCAGCGACCGAGCTCTCGGTACCCGTTCACCCTTTCCATCAGAGACTTGGGACCTGTCCCTCTCTCGCTCATTTGTAACCCCTACTACGAACTTTCAGTGCTAGTAACATGAGCAGCAGCGAACTAGACGTAGGGACATTCTGCCCAAACCAGTATATACCTCGTGTCCTCTTAGCACACCATCCGAGCCAGACGCGCAATATTAGAAATTTACTTATTGGTGACAACTCAAAACACCGACAGTTGGCTTGCTAGGTAGGGGCCTTTTGCGTGTCTCGACATCCACACTAGGCCTCGGATGGCTAGTCACAACCTCAGTTGGGTCCCGAGCGCACACGTACACTTTGGGGATCTGGACTTCATCGTCACGACAGAGAGAGAGTTGGCGATGGCTCCCGCCGCCGTCCGACCTCTCTACTCCACCGGCCTCGACGTGATCACCGAGGCACTTGAGGAGCTGCAGTTGCACGCACCGGAGGCCTGCGCCCCCAGGAGCAACCAGCTCCTCGACATCGACTATGGGAGGTTAGAGCGCCAGCTTGGTGCCTTCCTGGAACCCCGGCCATCCTGGGAAGACCTACGCCACCTCACCTTCTAGTTCACCAACATCATAGCGCAGCTTGCCAGTGGGGAGCCACTCTCTCTGGCATACCTCATCTGGAGCTCCCCAACAACGCTCTCATTCAGTCTTCGTAATGCCGCGGAGACCGATGGCCACCTTGTGGCACGACGCACGCCTTTGTCCCCCATGAACGATGAGTTCATGGGGATGACCGAATATGTCGCGGAGTCTTTCCACGACCTCCTCGCAGGAGAATCGGAGTTGCCCTCCAGCTCTGACTCTAGTAGGAGGAGCCATCACCCCTCTCGTGAGTGTTTCATGGCGGGTTCCCCCGAGGGACACATCGAAAGCATCCACGAGGAGGAGGCTACCCCGATGAACGATCTCGACGACGAGGTAGAGGGGGGGACAGGGGCCCCACCCTGCCTGCGAGTGGAGCAGCTGAAGGCCTGGCACCTAGAGCTCAAGGAAGCTCGACTCCAGCTCAAGCAGGAACACGTGGAGCTCAATCGGGAGATCGAGTGCCGCGGAGACGGTGGGCGCGCGCGCGTGCCATGGCCCACGACGTGAACAGGAGGATCATCGCGGACTATGAAGCCCTCCCACACTTCACCCGAGCAAGCTAGAACATCGCTGCTGTGGCGGCCTTGCTCCATGGGCTTCTGGGGCCCACAATGCCCAAGGATCGTTGGGCCCACCGTGAGATTCGCACGCCGCTCGAGCATAAGGTGGCGCAACAGGCTGAGAGCTCGCTGTCTCGGCGACGTGAGCTCGATGCCAGCCAACGCACGCCCTCAGAGCGATCCAACAAGGACGCGTCAGTCCACCAAGCGGCACAAGGCGACAGGCAGCGCACCGCGGTCCCGGTGCATGAGCGTCTCGGCCGCAACCGTGACGCACGCAACACCCTCGACGCCCGCAGACGTGCCCGCGACGATCCGAGAGAGGGAACTAGCCGCGGCTATCACCCTCGTCGTGGCGAACGCTACGACAGCGGCAAGGACCGAAGCCCCAGCCCTGGCCTACCGGGACCTCAGGACTTTGGCCGACACGTCCTCAACGCCGCCTTCCCACCATGGAACCGACCACTGACCAACATCCTAAAATACTCTGGGGAAACGAACCCCAAACTGTGGCTCGAGGATTATCGGCTTGCTTGCCAAGCTGGTGGAGCGGATAATGATGATTCCATTATCCGCAACCTTCCATTGTTCCTGGCCGATTAGGCGCGAATATGGTTGGAACACCTTCCACCCAACAGAATCCAAAGTTGGGCGGACCTGAAAGAAATCTTTGTTGGAAACTTCTAGGGCATGTACAAGCGTCCTGGGAACCCATGGGATCTTCAAAACTACCAACAGAAGGCCAGAGAAACCCTTCGTGGATACATCCGGTGTTTTTCTCGGTAGTGCAACGAGCTGCCCAACGTCGCCGACGCTGACGTCATAGGAACCTTCCTATCCGGGACTACCTGCGAGTCCCTAGTTCACAAGCTAGGATGTAAGGCTCCACGGACCACTAAGGAGCTCCTCGACATCGCCACCAGCCATGCCTCGGGTGAGGAGGTGGTCGGAGCGATCTTCGACCGCCTCAAAGGCAAGGCGAAGTGGGACGAGGACGTCAGCAAAGGCGCCTCCAACCATCCCGTCAAGAAGAAGAACAGGCAGCGGCACGAGGGCTCGCTCATGGCCGCCGTCGACCGCAAGGGGGCCAAAAGCCCGCGAGGGTACCCCAAACCACTTCGAGAAGCTGCTCAAAGGGCCATGCCCGAACCATGCTTTCCCCGTCGAGCACCTATACAAGGACTATGGCCTCTTAAAGTGGTTCTTGTCCGGGCGCTTCAACAAGGGAGAGCATATGAAGGAGACCAGCTAGATGAAGCGTGCGACATCGCCTTCCTCCGCTCGGCCAAGTACCAGCAAGCGTTGCGCCAGTACCACAGCCATTGAGTGCGGGGTTGGGCCTTCAACGTTGGGGACCTACTGCTCTGCTTCGTCCAGAGCAACAAGAACCACCACAAGTTCTCTCCACCATGGGAGGGACCACATGTCGTCGTGGGGGTGCTCTGACCAGGCGCCTACAAGCTCAAGGCCATCGACGGTGAAGTTTTTGTCGATCCCTAGAACATCGAGCAGCTACGTCACTTTTACCCTTAATATATGCACACTTTCTCTTATCAGTATTCATTATCAACTCCCCGATCTTTAGGTAACACCCGACCCCAGCAACGGCAAAGGGTCGGGTCTCACTCAGGGGCTAATAAGAGCATATCTATCTGGTAGATAGTCTCTACGTCTAACCCTTTCTCACGGTTAAGACCCAGAAGCAAAGTTTGCGGAAACAAACACTGAGTAAAACTAGTCGGACTACGAGAAACCTACATCTCGGCGGCTATGGCGCCTTTGCTCACCAGCGTGATCAGAGTTTTTTTTCGTACCCCGGGCTTTTTGGCCTTAAGCCATGGAAAGAGTCAGTACACGTTTAAGAGTCTATCCGTCTGGCGAACATTCTCCCTGCCCGACCCCCTCTCACGTTAAGGCCTAGGAGCTAGGGTTGCGAGAACAAG